GCAGGGATTGGTATCCATTTCCCTAAGGCCTAGTCCAGTTCCCTTGCCAACAAGACAATCCTTCCTCTGACCTGCTAAAAAAACAAAAGGAAGTAGAAAGGAAGCATCCGCCAGCAAGACCACCCTTTCTCTCTGACCTTCTCAGAGATAAGTGATGGCTGGGAGCACTTGGGCCCAGGGCAGAAGCACTTCCCTGATGAGGCATGCAGTGGCACAGGAGGACAGGTTGGGACAAGCACAGCCACCAAGACTGGGCTCATTCCACCTGGTCATGAGACTGACCCTGCTGGCTGTCAGGGGAGGGTCCATGACAGGATCTAGCAGCAGCGGCAGCAGAACTGCAAAGCATCTGCAGCCTTTTCTTTCCAGCCAAGTGGTATGTGCAGTTGGCCACCAGGTAGGGAGGATGGGAGCCCAAAGGGTATTCCTACTGTGCACTGGCGATGCGTAGGGGTGCACACGGGTGCATTGCACCCGAGATCGGCCGTGCACCCCCTGGGAGCACCAGCCACAGAACCGGAAGTGCACTTCTGGTTTTCCCGCTGGCTTGGTGACTGGCTGCTGGGGGACCCCCTGTCGGTGATCTGGTGCCCCCCCAGACTTGGGAGGCAGCAGTCGCCTGTGCTACTGTGTACACACTCCACATTTGCAGCTCTTGTCATGAGCAACTGCTGCCAATGCCCGAGGGTGGCTGGAGGCTGCAATTTGAGCGCTGAGCTGCACTGCGCTGGTTCAGAGTTTCCAATACACGACCAGCTTCTGTTTCTCAGGGGCTTTCCAACCATGGGTGTCCTAGCTCACTGGGCTAGGCCTTGTATCAGCCCAGCAGGAGAAGCCAAGGGGCAGAGACGATAAACTGCTTCCCTGAAGTCTGAAAGCCCGTAACAGAACCTGAAACAAAACCACACATGTCCAGGCTCGAACTCTAGCTGCAAAACCCCTCTTTATGTCTGTGTATCGTGTATACACGTGCATATGCTGAATCTGTCAAGGGTCTCCCCTGCAGTGGGCTGAACAGGGCTGATGGTCCTGGTCCTCTCTGCTTCTCTGACAATAAGGTTCAAGTTAGTGCCTGCTGCTTCTAGCTCCCCCTTCCTTGCCTCCCACCCGTGAGTGCTGCTGCCGTCTGAGCTCTGAGCTGGTGCTGCATGACTCTCACTCATCTGTTTATATTTGGGTTGTTAACATGTGAAACGTCCCCCTCAGAAGGGCAGGTGGTGTGAGCAGCTGCAGGCAGCTTGGGCGGGCTCTGCGGCACACAACCACACACCCAACAGCACCAAGCAAAAAGGTGAGAGCAGCAGAGTTCATGCCAGCTGCCTCCTGCTGATGCCTAGACCCAAGAGGGCATCTCTTCCTTGCGTACTTGTCCTCATGGCCAGAAAGGTTACCAGCAGGGGCTGGCAAGTGTGGGCAGGGCTAAAACCAACCTCACCCTTCCCAAGTCAGCCCACAGATGGGGACAGAGTGGGGCTGCCAGATAAGATCTCACACCCACGTGGGAGAGGGCACGGTGAACTGTATCCCTTGTTTGTCAAGGCCACAGAAAAGGGAAGCAATGACCCTCTGCTCCTACAGCTTTCATGCCATCAGCCCCCTGGCAAAGGGACTGTCATTGCACCAGCTGTCACAGCACTGGCAGCCCTAAGAACCAGAGTGTGCTAGCAGCTGCACACGCTGCTCGGTGAGACCACTGCCCTGGGAGAGCTGCTCCCTGCAGCACATATCAGATGCTTTTGAAGTGGCTTTTTGTCAGTCACACAAAGCCTTTGTATTTTCCCTGCAACAAGGCTCCAGCAAGCAGCAGTGGCTCCATGCAGTACCCAGGTGCACAACCAGCTTTGCTCCTTATGCTGTGGCTACTTGGAGGGCAAAGGCCTGTGTGGGACCCTGGATCACCCACCATGCTGAAGTCACAGAGCACCTAACTCGGCTGCAACTGGTTCAACCTGGCTCCTGGTTATGCACTGGCACAGAGACCTAGCTGACTCAGCAATGAGGTCCCATATCCAGGGCAACTCAACCTGTTGTATGGACAGCACATCTCACTGTGAGGCTGTCCAACAAAATCAATCCTAGGGTCTGACCACTGCAGATAGGACAGAAACCTGGGTTTTGTTGCCAGCCTTGTCAATGACCTGCTTCATAATTCACTCCACTGTTGTCTGTCTAGTCTCTTCAGAGTGTATGTCCTCCAGGGCTGGGCTTGTGCACACTCAGAAAACACCTACTCTGCAACCAAAATCTGGCACTTGCATACCACGCAGGCACTGCGCCCTGCACGAAAACAGCTTTTTGAGTCCACTTGAGGAGCAAACTGAGTTCGAGTGGCCCTTAGCATGGGACACTGTCACAGCTACCCTACACTCTTGGTTTACTTGCAGAACCTGCAGAGATGGCTTTCAGCTGGTTAATGTAGGCACACAGGGCAGCAATGCTAGCAGCTAACAAGCACGGCCCCGAACAGCCTGCATTGAACCCATGCTGCAGAGACTTCACTGCGCTCAGTACCCATGTCTCTGCGTGCTGCCCTCACAACACCAACTGCAGCATAGGCAGCTCCATGGCGTGTCCATGCAGGGAATCAGTGCAGAAGAGCCATCATACTTTGAACTCGCACTCTGGCCTACTCTGCACTAGCTGCCCCAAGACGACAAGCCCAGCCCCTTGTTTGGCCTGTGCTGGAAGCTGCCTTGGCTCTCTCATATCTGTTTGTTAAATAAAACGAGCTAAAATCTGTCAAGTGAACGGCTGCCAAGGGAACCTCACAAATCCGGCACAAGTGCAGAGGCAGCCACGTATGTTTGCAGCAAGAGTCACCACAAGCTATGAGGCCTGCCCTGACCATCAGAGGTGCTCTCTCTGATGCCCAGTTACCTGTTCCATTCCCTGTTGACAAGGAGAGGGAAGTACACAATTTATAGTTGGCAACTGCCCATTTGGGCTCTAGAAGTGATGAACATAGGAGGAACCACCTCCTAGACAGTCTAGAAGGAGCTTGGGTGGGGGGCTGGACCCATGAGCACATAAAAGTCCTGCCAAGCAGAGCAAACATGACCACATTCATGACATCCCACAGAGCAGCACATGTGGCTGTATCAGAGGAGCTGCCACTATGTGATGTAGATGTGCCAAGAGGATTGGGAGACCAAGGAGAACTGCTGAATAAATAGCACCTTTTTAAAGTTAATAACCTCTCAACTCCTGGCCTGGAGTTTTCCAACAGCAGAGCAGCTACAAAGCCCTTTCACTACCATATGGGCCACAGCCCCTCACTCATCACCAGCAGTCACTGAGCATAAGATAGGAGTGGAGTCTTACTATGTACTTTACCACAGCCAACAGATTCCTTTTGCTTTCAGTTAGCTACACAAGGGACCAGTCACAGATTTACACACCTGCTATGGATGCTACTACTGTTAAGTGCAGAAACCCTTGCTGTGTGCACAGACTGGAGTCACACTTAGTCACTGCTGCAAAAGAAGGGGAGGAGGCGCTAGCAAGGACTATACATCCACCAACACAGATGCTGGTCCAGCACAGGGACCTGATCCTACAGCAAGGGGGCTCGGTCATGCCTCCAGAACTACCTGCGTTTCAGAACAGTCACACTGATGCCGTTGGTCCCACCCCAGGCAACAGCAGCATCCAGAGCTGTGAGACGCAGCCGAGTTCATAACCTGACTCGGCAAGGAACTGCCCTCCCAGCAAGCCTCCCCACCACTTACCAAAGCCTCTGAAGAGCACTTGGAAATGTCCCGTGAGGATAAATCAAAATGCAGCAGAAAAGTGACAAAGCATATATCTTGGCACCGGCTTGGTTCAATGCAAAAAAGTCAGGGCTCCAGTCAAAGGTAACTCCCGCTCCCTACACACCAGTCATTTGTACACAGGCCTTGTGAGCTATTGATGTGTACTGTGCTGTATTTCCCAAAGGCAGAGAGGGCTGAGGACAGACCCAGGCTTACAGAGCATTTCCCCCAGACTAAAACACAGCTCCTTGCAGACCATTGCTGGATCCTTCCTACGTCCTCGGAAAGGAGGAAATGGCTGAAGAAGCTTCAAAGCAATGTTAGTGGAGACAAAGGCAACTTCCTGTCGGTGAAGCAGACGGCATGAAGGACAAGCCCATGGCAATGAACAACCTCCGTCTAGCATAGGAGGACATAATATAAAACAGAGCACCTGGGATTTACAGACCTGTACATCCCAACCTGCCTCTGCCCCACACCACACTCTGCCAGAAAGTCACCCGGTCCCTCTGGGCACAGAGGCACCATCCCAACCACCTCCCCTCTGCTGGCTTGCCACTAACATCAGGCAAGACCTTGTGGGAAAGCTCTAAAGCAGGGAAATTCAACCTCCAGCCCATGGGCCAGATCCAGCCTGTGGAGCCATGTCATCCAACCCCATGGGGCTGGATATTTAGGGGCAAGAGATGGGTAGAAATTAACACTGCCACTGTTCCCCCACAGCCAAATTTCCAAACCCTGCAGACCAGATGTCATGACCCTGCATGCTGGCACAGGGTCTGATTCAGCATGTGGGGCTGGAGCTAGGGCCCAAACACGTGCATGGGGCTGGGCCCATGCACTAAGATGGCCTTGTGCACTGGACTGGGCACACAGACCAGATCCAGCCCACCGACTGACCCAGCACCACTCATCTTGCCTGAATGGTTGGACACCGGAGACTGATGGAGACCAAGGGATGGTGTTTGTCACTGGACCCCACCTCATTCAAGGATTTTTCTGAACAATCAAGATATGCTGATCTCTAGGGCCAATTGCTGATCGGTTCCTTAACGCATTATGTGGTCAGCTGCCTGAAATCCCCCCTCCCCAGAGGAGCCTCATCTCCAGATCTGGCCGGTTTTGCCAGCAGGACCACAACTGATCATGGGAACAACCCACATCTTCCTTCTTTCTCCTATCCCCACCTGCCAAAGAGCAGCAGCGACAGCAACCTCTGAGGTAGGACAGAGCCATTAAGACCACTTGTCAAGACCATCAAATAATAATTTACTGTGATTCAATCTGTGGCTTTGTACAGTGGCCAGGAGGGGAGGAGGCACAAGGAGGAGGGGAGGTGGGGGTGGAAAACACAGTCGTTTATTGTAGGCCTTGGTGAAGTTCGAAATAGTCCATGGGGAGGGTGGGGGGGAGCAGGGTTCAAGCTACCCTCGTCGTTGTCCTCCTCCTCATCTCCCCTTTCCCCCAATCTCCTCCCCTGAATCCATTTGCTGCTTCTTTCGGTTCACCTCTTTCCTCGTACTCTGCACAGCGGAAACCCCTCCAAGTCACGGCGTGGTCAGCTGAAACAGAAAGGGAGAGTGAGGGGGCTACAATCAACAACTCTTCTCATCCCACTCGCGGAACCCTCCCTGGTACCTCCCATACAGGTAATTCAAAGAGGGAAAAGGCCCTTGGTGGGTAGGGGACCCTGGATAATTTGGCAAGACATTTGCTTATCTCCAAGGAACAAGCAAGTACCTTCCGCATAACGGTCTCACACCTGGGATCTGGGTACTTTACTCTCTTAGCTGCCTCTGTAGATAAGGGGCGTTTCATACCAGTCTCTCTCATCAGCTCCTGTTTTGCCCATAGCACAGGACCATCTCCAAGCATTGGACAAAGGTAGGTAGGTAATAAAAATCATGGAAAAGCAGGGCTGGTGGGGACCTCCAGAGGTCATCCAGTCATATCACTTTGTCTTGGGACTGTGCAGTGAATCAACAGCAGGGCCAGGAGCAGAACCCAGGTGCCTCAACTCCCAGACCTGCACCAGGAGCATCCAGATTTTCTCCCCACCACCCTTCATTTTCTGATATTTCTCCCTCTTTGCCCTTGACCATAGCCAGATGCTGCATCTGAGAGCCAAGACACCTAAATTCCTGCCTCTGCCACTGACCCTCCAGCATCTTGGGCCAGTCACCTTTCCTGCATTGGGCAGCTCCCCCGTCACCATGCAATTTCCTGAAGCATTTAGGAATCTTTCATCAGAAAAATATGCTCCCATAGCAAAGCTGGATTGCATTTGCATTGCAGATTTAAACCAGGGGAAAACAGGCCCTGCTTTCCTGTGTAGAGAGCCAGCCAGCCAGGCACACACCCAACAGGGCTGACTGGGTCCTGCGGTCCATCAGGCATGTACATTCTTGCTGTCAGCGCAGGGAGCTGGGAAAGGCTCTTCACTGCAAATGGTGAGTGTAAAATTCACAAGATGCTCAAAAAGCTCTCGCTCTTCCCTCTGCTTTTGGAAGGAGTGTCAATGTGACTGATGGACACCAGCCCCACTCTCTTGCTTTGGCAGCCAAGCACTGTCAGTGCAGGCATAGGATAACGGCAGCTTAAGGAGAGGTCTGGATTTATCTGTGTGCTTTCAGCTGAAAGTGATCACAGTCAGAGCAGGAAATGAGCCCCACGACTCACATCCCCATCCGGAGGAAACGCTCCTGGACATCTGGATTATCTGAACATCTGGAAACCTCCCGTAACAACAATAGCTGCACTAGGCACAGCTTAAGGATCAGCCCCAGTGGGAGATCCCGTCTGGCTCACCCGGGATCCACTCTCTCCTCAGCCAGGAACCCAGGGGTGGGGCGTTCACTTGTTTTTGTTTATAGAAAGCAAACGCAGCCAGGGGTTTTTGGAAAGAGCTCTGCTGAATGCAGGGCCTTGCCAAATGCTTTGCTTCAAGATGCACTGGAGGAAAAACAGCTACCATGTGCTCAATCAACCCCTGGCAACAGTGTGCCTGTGAGTGGGCAATTAAGGTTTTCACTTGGGAAGTGAGCACTTGTGAAGGGAGGTAGGGAGACCACAATGGTGCCTGGAGTCCTCTATTATCTAGAGAAAAGGCAAAAGCTGTACAAGTCCAGCATGTCCCCTTCCACTCCAAGGAGTCCAGCTCAGTCTCCTTGGCCCATCTAGTTCCTGACTTCTGCTGATATTGCCCCAAGAGACGTCTCAGTCCCACCAGGCTCATGGCACAAGCAGCTGATAACCAGCCTTCCCCTCACTACTGCCCAACGTCAGATTGCACAAGGCAGAAGGGAGGCTAACTAAGGGGGATGCTATACATTACACATAGCACGTGTTAACCATGCTTGAACACTAGCATCCAAGCAGGATAAACACAAGCTAAGCACTCTCACATCATAGTAAAGTTACACCTTCTTGAGAGAGAAATATCTCCCAGTTGCATTAAGTAACATGTGGTGCCTTCACTAACATGTGGTGCCTTCACATGGGACTGCTCCAGAGAGACAATTCCAGTTCCTGGGGCTAGGACCTGTTTTCCGCTGATTGTGGGTCCCAGCCCCAGGACCACACGGGAGTCTTGAACTAGCTCTGTTGGGTTCCTGGGCTGAGAGTGAAAAATCAGCTGACTTTCAGATCTCAACCTTGGGATCACACTGGTGTCTTGAACTGGCTCCTATATGATCCCAGGGATGAGATCACACAAGAGCCAGTTCAGTGCGATCCCACAGCTGGACCTGAAAAATCAGCTGATTTGGGGGTCTCAGCCCTGGGACTGTATTGGAGCCCGTTCAAGTCTCCAGTGTGGTACTCCAATCTATATTTAGATCATAGTAAGCATTAACATGCAACTGCTAAGAAAACTTTCTAAGTCATACTAATGCTTACTGTGATCTAACTATAACAAGTGCTAAGTGTAACGTGTAACAAAGCCCCAAGTAATCATTCAACTACCTCCCTTCACCTAAGATAAAGACACACAAAGCTGGCCAGAGTCTGAAATGTGGCATCTTTAACCCTCATCAGGATACTGAATAGAGGCAAAGTGATTCCTCTGTGCCAATTTTGGACACAGTTAATCAAGCATCCTAGCAGCTAAGGGGAACACCCTTCTGAGGAGCAAGGAGTCAGAACAATCTGCTAACACGTTTCGGCATAATGCACCGATGCATTGGAAAAGGACAGTCCCAGTCCTGCTCACCCTGAAATGAGGGTAAAGTGAGCTGTGCCCTGTGGCAGAGAACACAGTGCTGGACTTCCTTCCCCTCTCTGACACTGGGGGAAGGGGTTGGAGAGAAGGCTGACAAAACTGAGGGGGAACTTCAGCACACGGAGATGGTTGAAAAAGACCAAGTCTCTTCCTTTGGCATTTTTGGTAAAGAATTATTTTTTCCCACAATTTCCTGAAAATGGGTTTTATAATTATTATATTTATTTCATAACAGAAAAACAGGGGAAGGAATCCATAAAAAAATACTGATTAAACCACAGGCTAAACAATCTTTACCAAAAACCCAACATTAAGAACCCCACTCTCTGCGCTGATTTTTCATAAACAACAGAAAATGTTGGGGCGTAAGCAAAAGGTTCACAAGAAAATTTTTGTTTTCAGTAAAAAGTTGTAGTGGGGCAGGGGAAGGAGAAGGGAGCTGGGGGGGTGTGGTTTTTTCCATGAAAAAAAATGTTTTGATGAAATTATTTCATCCAGCTGTGTTTGCAGCCTGGTACAGTCATAAAATCATAGAAATGTCGGACTGGAAGGTGTGAGATACGTGCATATGTTGAATCTGCATGAGTGAATCTTAAGTTATTTCCTGTTGAATCTGCTAATGTGCATGCACATTTTTACTTCATGTTTACAACATATTCTGTGCCTGCCCGCCTGGTAGC